TTGGGTGGAGAGGAAGGAGGACAGCCTGCCTAGCAGATGGGAGCATAAAGGGATGCTCGGCGGCAGCAGCTCCTGTGAGGCAGAGGAGCAGAACTGGTGTGAGGGTGGTGCTCCGAGGAGCCACCACATGTGTTCTGGAGCTGGGAGAGCTGCAGTGGCTGAGCCTGAGAGCAGTAGGGAGCCATTGAGAAGTCTTGAGCAGGGGAGGTGCTGGCGAGGCTTGCTCTTTGAAAGGTCAATGTGGCCCTAAGGGACAGTGAATTCTGTAGTGGGAGGAGTTTCGAGGACTCACCAGGTCTCCCTGCAAGGCAGGACATAGGAAGTAGTTGTTGGTGGTGGATTTACTTTTGGAAAGACCCTTCAGGTGCCGTGTGGAGGCTGGAGGGACCGGAGAGACCAGAGGCCTGGGACAGGCTGTGAGAATGGCCTGGAGCCAGCAGTGCAAGGGACAGTGTGTCAGGGCAGCAGTGTAGACTGAGCAAGTAAGGAGACTGGGTCACGGGGTCTTGGGTCCTTGGGGAAGGGAGGAAGTCAAGGTTAAACCTGCCATCAGATCACCTAGAAGGAGCCCTGCCTTCTAGGAGGAGGGCTAATCATGGTCCCCTGCTGGGGGACCTGGGACCAGGCTCCCCTCCCTGACTCAGTGCCCCCAGCGGGAAGGGCCAGCCACAGTGGGCTCACTGCTCCGAGCCAGCAGTCTGTGATGTGCCTCTGACCCACACGGAGGGACGTGGGGCCCACAGTGACCAGCTGGGGCCTCATGTAGGATTATCCAGTCAGGCCAGGTCTGCCATGGCCAGGGGCCAGTGCCAGGCATGGCTGCTGTCAGAGAGGGCACGTCTCCCACCTCCGGGGCCTCCTGCCCTCCCTGTCAGCTGTCTTGGCGTGGCCTGCCTGGCTGCCCCAGGCCCCACTCATTCCAGGTCCTCTGCTTTCCGTGACTCTGGGAGGAGTGGCCCGGTTCTGGGGCCTCATTGGCTAAATCCTGCTCAGGCTGCACACACCCCTGCCTCCCGGCCTGGCTGCCTGCCACCAGGGACTAGAGGCCTGGCCTGGCCTGGCCTGACGTGGGCAGACTGCCTGGGAGCCCAGGGAAGGAGGGGAGGCTGAGAAACTGCCTGGGTCCCTGGGCTGCCCCGTCTTTGCCACTTGTACCCTTCTAATTGAGGCGAGTTGAGGGGACAGGGACAGTGAGGCTTGTCCCTCAACCTTGCCCTAAGGAACACAGTAGTTCCTTTTTGACAGGGTGACAAGGTGACAGGACACCAAAGTGACAGGACTCTGCTTCCGCATTAGAATCCTCAGCTGGGCATGCCAGACCCCAGGCAGGGTTAGAGCCCGGAATCCAGGAACAAGGTGTGGGGAATTGGCAGTTCTCTCCCCCACCTGGTGAGTGACAGATGTCTGAGGGAGAGGGGCCTTGCTCAGAGTTGCACGGAGCCTGGGGACTGGGCTAGGGTTTGAGTCCAAGTCTGTCTGTGTTGGTCCCTCCACGACCTTGGATGAGACCCTGCTGTGTGCCAGGCACTCTGGGCCCGGCTGTCTCTGTATCCAGGGTCAGGCCAAGGGCCCCGTGCAGAGGAGGTGCTGGTGAACAGGAGAGAGCACGGATGAATGAGCCGGAGGTCCTGTCTCCAGCTTTGCAGGGTCTAGTGGAAGGCGAGGACTCTTGCTCACAGAATAGGAGGTGGGAGGCTCATGGAGGAGACATTGGCGCGGTGAGAAGCGGAGAGAGGCCTGGAACTTGGCATCCTAACGGCAGGCCCAAGGCTCTCTCCACCCTCGTTTCCTCCTCTGTCAGATGGGCTGACGTCTTCTCTCCCCTCTGCCTTTTCTGCGAGGACCCGGTGAGGATAGGTGTTAGGGTGATGAAGAAGGGGCTTCTGTGCGTGGGTCCAGATTGCCAGAAACCCCAGTTGGTCTGCTCCCTTTCTTCTGCCTGCTTAAGCTCTGCATCTTGCTATCCCCACAACCCCATTTCCTCAGCTCTCCCCAGGGCTTCTGGAATGTTCTTCCCAGAACCCCCTGTGAGAGGGGCTTGGGAAGAGCATGGGTGAATGGAGTCTCCTTGCTTCCTCCGTTTACCTGCTCCCACACCGAGAACCAGCTGCCCACACCCACACCCACATCCCTGCAGGTCCCCAGGGTACAACCGGGCTGGAAATCCCTGGAGGTGGTTACCACAGTGACAGGTCCCACTGCTTGGACCACAGTGACCTCTAAGAGAGCCTGCGAGCTGGACAGCCTGGCACCCACAGCCCTCTACCCAGGCTGTGAGCTCCTGGGCGGCCGCGCTCCTCGTCCCCTGGGTGCCCAGCACTGTGCCTGGTACCTGGGGACTCTCAGGAATGAGCCATGTCTCTGGAATCCACAAGCAATTCTGGGTCAGAAGGGCCTGACTCGAATCCTGCTTCTACCACTGAGGTGTCAGAGACCTCAAACACCCCACCCCAGTGTGCTCTGAACATACTGAATTAGCTGTGGGGGTCTCAGGGAATGATCCACAGAGCCAGACCCCAGTGTGAGTGCTGTCACCCCCCCACCTCGGAGCCCGCAGCTGTGGCTTCTCACTTTCGGGCCATGCACTCTCTGTGGCTGCATCCAGCCCAATGCCCTGGACTCCTCATCTCAGCGCCGGAAGGCCGCCCTGCCCGTGCGCTGTGGGGCGGGCAGGGCTCAGACTCTGCCCGACCTTGTGTCACAGCTGGACTCTGCCTGTACTCGGGCCTTAGTTTCCTCATCTGTAAGACAAGGATCGTAATGTACCGTCTCGGCTTTGCTGGGAAGAGAGAATGGAATTAGCACACGTACGTGGAGTGCTTAGAAGGATACATGACCTCTACATGCTAGGAACCTTAGCGGGGACTGTAACCACCGCCACATGGCACTGCTACAAGCACTGGCACCACGTGCCTGCCCCCTCTCGCTCTCCCACAGCCCTCGCGTTCCCAGTCTGCTCGGGAGGGCAGCCCAGAGACATGGATGGCAGGGTGCCGCCTCGTCCCTACATCTGCCCCGTCCAAGGGGCCGTGAGGCACTCCCCCACATCTCAGGCCTGGAGAGCAGGACAGGCCCGGCTTCTGCAGGAACCCCACCTCCAGTTCGAGTTTTGAGGGTGGTTTTCCAGCTGGCAGAGGATGCAGCCCTGCCCTGGATCAGACAGCTGGTCGGACTGCCCAGAGTCCTTCCCGATCCAAGTTCTTAAAGACATTCCCACTCAGCCGAGGCGCCCCTCTGATGTCATCTGAAGAAGTAGCAGCCCAAGAAAGGGGCGCTCTGGGGATGAAATTGGAACCTTCTTGAATCACTTCAGTGGGAACCTTTCCCAGGATGGAGTGCTCCAGGGCTCCGTAGGCCTCTCTACATAGGGAAGGGTGATATTCAAGAATGAAGGGAGGTCAGGGCTGGCTTGTTGGCCCAGTGCTAATGCAGTGCTCAAGAGAGGCTGGATCTCACATGATAACCAGTTCAAATCCCTGGCCCAGTCATTCTGAAATACACTGGGCATGCATGTGAGTGCCCAAGATCCAACATGCTGGAGAACTGGAGGCCGGGGATGATGGCATGGCCAGACCCTGTGGAGGGTGCTCCTCTCTCACTCTCACATACATGCATAAATAAAGGAGGAAAAAGAATGAATGTAAATCTAAGGCAAAACTTTTCAAAGCTGATCCACAAGCTGATGTGGGGGTGGGGGGGATGGAATTCTCTGCATTATTCCTGTCCCCTCCCTCACTTCACTCTGGTCTAAGTTCAAGAGGAAGGCGCACAGGTGGCACACAGAGAGCCTCCACCATCTGAGACCCTGTGCTGGAGGGTGGCCACTCCTGAGGC